GCTGCGCCGCCCCCGCCCGCCAGGGGGCAGCCGCGGGTCGGGCGGAGGGCGCGCGCGCACACGGGGGTTTACGGCACGAGCTGGGAGCGCGCGCGCACACGGGGGTTTACGGCACGAGCTGGGAGCGCGCGCGCACACGGGGGTTTACGGCGGGAGGGTCGGGGACACGCGTGTTCGCGCGCGCGCGCGGACGAGAACGCGCGCGTTCGCATGCAACGCGTTGTGCAGATGTGCACATGTGCAGCTGTGGCGTGCACGCACACACGCGCAGCACCGCGTGCAGCTGCCACGCGTGTGCATCCCCGTCCAACACGCATGGCGTCGTGGCGCGCACATCCCTTGCACACGCGTGTGCACTGTCCTGGACGCGCGGCCCCACGGYGCGCACCCTCCCTGCACACGCCTGTGCACCCTCCGTGGCACATGGCTCCCCCCGGCCTCATGCATGGGCCCCTGGGTGCAGGGGGCTCTCGGCCTCCTCGCCACCCGTTGGTTCCCCTTGCAAGAAGGCACCTGGGGGCGGCTTCCGTGGCCCCTTCCTAAAACTAAAGCCCCTAGAGAACYGAAACGAAGCCCAACCCCTCCGTGCCAGGGTCAGCGAGGGCGAGTGGGAACAGCAACGTGGGAAGGCAGCTCCGGGGGTCACCCGGGTGCAGGCAGGGTGAGAAGCCAGGAAGGGGTCCCTTGGGTGCTGCAGGTGCCCTATGCTATATGGGGGTGATGTCTGTCCCCCTCTCCGCTGTCCTTCCTTGTCCCCAGCTTTGGGGCATGTTTGTGACCCCACGTGGCTGCTCCTGTGTGGGGCTACGTGTCCTCGCGATGGGGAGCCCTCCCATGGCTCCTTCCCAGCCTCAGGAGGGGACAGCACCTCTTTGGAATGACAGGTCACCCCGGGGGAGTGACGGAGGAAAAAGAAAAGAGAAGAAAAACAAAGGAAAAAAAAATATAAGTAAAAGTGCAAGCGAGAGGCAGGTCGGCATCCGGCGCCGCCACGCGGCCCCTGCCCCGCAGCTGCGGTGTCACCGGTGCCGCTCGGAGCAGGGCCCCAGCGAGAGCCCGGGCTGGGGACGGTGCCCCGGGGCGCCGTGGGGTGACCGGGGTGGCGCCCGGCCTGCTGCACCGTGCCCGGGGGGAGACAATCCTTTTAGTTATTATTTTTGCATCTGGGCACCTGCAGGGAACGATAGTGGATGCATTCCCAGAAGCTTGGGATGTGCCTTGGGATACTCCTGTTGGCSGCTTTAGTTTTCCCTCCATCCTTGGCTGCCGCAGTCCTGGAATGCCACCTTCCTGATGCTGGGGCTGGCAGAGGGCACAGGAGGTGACACTGGGGAGATATTGCTGAGATGTTAAGGGCTTGGGGGCTGGGGGGGGGGCTGAGGGGCATGGGGGGGCGCCCCTGCCCCCAGGGTTCCCCTTGGGAGAGCTTTGGGTGTGAAGCTTTCGGAGGGCTCCGTCCTGTCCCTGCCGCGGCACCTGCCCCGGGCGAGCGGAAAATCTGTGTCAGCGGAAGGAGGGAGAGGGGCGGGGGGGGGGAAACCACCTGCCCCCCGCCAGCCCCGGAGCCCGCCTGGCCCCGGTGGGACATGTGGAGCCGGCCCCAGCCCGGCCCCATCGCTCTGTCCCCTCCCTCTCTTGCCCCAGTCTGGCCGGGGGGTGGCGGAGAGGAAGGGGGCTGCGATGAGTTTGCAAGTGCTCAGCGCGTCTGCACGGGAAGGGAGGAAAGGGGGCGAGAAGGGGAGCGGGCGCCCGCCGCGGCCGTTCGGGGCCGGGGCTGGCGCCGTTCCGGGCCGGGTTATTTCTCCCGGCGGTGGCAGGAGCCGCGCGGGGGGGGCCCCTCCGAGAGGCGCCCGGGCCGCGGCAGGAAACGCGGGCGCAGATGCGAGTGGAAAATGCTCGTGGGCGCCCGAGTCCCCCTCGCTAGAAGCCCGCGGGTTGCTCTGAGGCCGATGGGCGCCGCGATAAAGCGCCGTGTTGGTGCGCGGGGGCGGCTCCGGCTCCTCCGCCCTTTGGGGGGGATCCGGGGCTGCTGCGGCTGGGTGGGAATCGGGGAGGGTCGGGGGCTCCCTCCTGCTTTGCCCGGGGGGCGCTGCCGATTCCTAGCGGTGGTTTGGGACAGTGTGGAGGGGCACCCGGACACTTAACACCCCCCTCCTTGGCCTAACAAAGCCGCCCAGCAAAGCCACATCCTCCTGCGGCGCAGCGGGGCCGGGGGCGGACGGGGTGGGAGGGTGGATGGGTGGGATCTGGGGTGCCGGGGAAGGGAGGAGGCCATGCAGGATGGCACCCCCTTGGGTGCCTTGCCTTGGCTTCCTGCCCTGTGGACAGGACACCCGCGAGCTCGGTGGCACCGGGCGTGGAGCAGAGCCGGGACGCGGGGACTGCGGGCGACGGTGGCGGCAGTGACGAAGGTGGCTCCACGGCCGCTGGGCTCCTCTGTGTCACCCCGTGTCCCTGCACCTGCGCCGCCCTCAGCTCCCACCTGTGCCTTCCTCCTCCTCCTCCTCCTCCTCTAGGGAAGGAGGAAAGGAAAAACGAGGAGGGGCGGGAGCAGCTGCCGGACCTCCCCGGAGAGCTGCAGGTGCTGCAGAGCCCTGGGGTGCTGCTGCAGCACGGGTGGGGGGCAAGGGGGTGTGCGGGGACACAGGAGGGGACAAAGGCTGCAGGCGGGTCCTGGGGCGCTCCCTTGATCCAGGCCTAACTGCAGGCGTCCGTGGTGGGGAGGCTGTGAGAACGGAGGCCGGGCCRGGGTGGCAGCGCAGGAAGCGGCAGGGGGGCGGCCGGCCGCGCTCCCCCAGATGAGCCCGTGAGATAGCAGCGGCAGGAAGCAGCTGCCGGGAATCCCGGGCGCCGGCTCTGGGAACAGCGGCCACCAGCTGTCAGCGCTGGCCCCGCTGCTCCGCTCCTGCTCCCGCCCTTCCCGGCCCCCGGGGCTCCGTCCGGGCCGCGGCTGCCTCCTGCAGACCCCGCTTTCCGTGTGCCGTGCGCAGGGGCAGCTCCGCGCGGATGCTCCAAGTCGGACGCCTGGTCCCCGCTGGAGGCTGCCCTGGCCCCACCAAGGGATGTTTCGGATGCCCAGGATTTGGCTTGGAAAACTCTGCTCCTTCCTCTGAGGAAGCTGCGGTTCCCTCTCGGCATCTCCTTCCTGGCGCCACCGAGGTGGCSGCGCTGGAGCCGAGAGCGGCCCGCGGGCGGCCCGGGGCTTCGGGACCCCGGGGCCGGGGCAGGGGCGGCCGCCCCGGGCTCAGGCCCCATAGGGCAGTTACGCTGTTGGTCCCCACCGTGCTTGGGGCCGAGGGACGCGGAGCCCTTGGTGCCCCCAACCCTATTTCCTTATGTGCCCGARGGACGTCCTCCCTACTCCTGGACAGGGCTGGTGACAAGGACCAGCATGGGCAGCCGGCCAAGGCCCGGGCGGCGAGTGCCCCCRCAGGGAGGCAGGACGGAGACGAGTGCTCTTCCTCCTCTGTGGGGTCTCTGCCAGGAACGAGAGCCGCCCCTGGTTCATTCTGAACCCTAATGAYGGCCGGCGAGGTGCGACCCTTTGGATGGACAGAAAAGCTCCAAAATGGGATGCTCTGCCCCCRACTGGGCTCCTGCGAGGGGGTTAATCCCCTGGCCAAACAGCGCGGGGCTCCCGCATTCCCCAGCGCCCGGCCGGTGCTCCTGGTGACRGGCTGACGTGGGGCCGGCTCCTGCGCTGCCCTGCTCGCCGGGGAGCCGGGACGGCCTCTGGCAGCGCCGGGCGAGGATCTGCCCTGCACGCCGTCCTGCTCCACGGCACCGCGCCCCGATGGGGCCGTGCTGCACAAAGGGGTAAACTGAGGCACAGGAGGCATCCTCGGGGATCAGCCGCCCTCGGAGCAGCCTCCCCGATCCCTTCCGCAGCTCCAGCCTCTATGGCGGCTCCGGGCCTCTCCTCTGCCAGCTGAACGGCTTCCCTGGAGCTGGGGGTCCCAGGCAGCCTCCGTCTCAGCCGTGGGTGAGAAGTGCCCCGAAGCCCCCGGCGCTGCCCCCTTGGGCCCCCTCCCCGCGTGCCGCGGGCGGCACCGCCGCTTCCCTCTGCTTTGTGTCCTGCACATCCTGCCACCTGCAGGGACTCAGTTTAGCAGGAGAGGAGGGGGAAGCATTTGGGGGGGGGCTGCATTAGGGACTCCCCTCCTCCGGGAGCGCAAGGAGGCTGCCGAGCAGCAGCACGCGGGCAGATTGTCCCGGGTTCGCAGCGCAATCCCGGGAAAAGGCCCTGGGAGCGGGGGAGACGCTGAGGAGCTGGGGACGGGGGCGATGCTCGGGGTGGGGGGTCGCCCAGGGACCCTCCCCAGGGGCTGCTCAGGCCAGGGCTGATGTGACCTGAGGGCCCGTGCAGGATCCTGAACATCTCCGGCCTTTCCTTGTTATCCCCTGTTCTGAAGGAAGGCGGCACCGCGGGCCCTTTTCCATGTGAAATCCCTGTGCTCGGGAGCGTTCCCACTCCCTCTCCCCGCTGCATCCCCCCGGCCCCACAACAGCTCTGCCCCCCCCCACACTCCCCTTTTCTTCCTCGCTGCTCAGCGCCAAGAAACCGGCCTCGCTGGCCGGCCGGCAGCAGGAACATCCCGCGTTAGGGGCTGGCGGGCGGAATCCGAGCAAACAAGCAAACAAATAAATAAATAAAGCTATAATTATGCGGAGGGAACAAACCCCTATTTAGTCGGGGGGGTCGCGCCGCTGGGCTCGCCCCCGTGGCCGGGCCCGCCGGGGCGCGCGGCGGCGCAGGGGGCGCGGGAGGCGCGCGGGGTGCCCGGGCGCGCGCGTTGCCCGGGCCACGCGGSGCCGTGTGAATGCATGACGTGCGCGGCGCTGGCGCCAGCCTGTCTGGGGCCGCCACTTAGATCAACACAGCTGGAGGGCCCGGGCCACAGCTGGGCAAAGGCAGCGGCTCCCGCCGCCCGCCCGCCCGCGCGCGGGGCCGCTGGGAACCGCCAACAAAACCCCCTGCAAACAAAAGCCCCCGGAGCCCCCCCTGGGAAACGGGGGGCGGCGGCGGGGGGGGCGGCCCTGGGAACGCGCGGGGTCAGCGGGGCCGCCGCGGCGATGCCGGGGGGCCGGGGAGGGCCGCGGCGCTGCTGGGGGGGCTGGGGACCCCTCAAAGGGGGGTGGAGGTTTGGGGGCTTGTTTGGGGGGTTCCTGGCGGGAATACGAGGGGTTATCGTTTTACCCAGTACCAGGTTAAGGGGGATTTAAATAATGGGAATGAAGCCGCCGCCGCCGCCAGGGCCGTTCCCAAGCTGCCACCCTCGGCACCGGGGCCATTCCCAGGAAAAGAGTGGGGAGGGAGGGGGGGAATGGCAGTGGGGGGCCGGGGGGGGAGTGTCTTGTCGCTGCTTCCTGACTCCTGGGAATGGGGCTTTTTCCTGGGTCTTGGGGCAGCCCCATGGCCACCGGTGGGCCAACAAAGAGGACGCTCCCCCCTCCCCACTTTGGGGGTCCCACTGAGGTTTGTTCCCTTGCAAACAGGGGGAGCGAAAGGCGATGTGAGCAAAATTTAGGGATTTGGGCAGATCTGGAAGAAATTGCTTTCGCAGGCGGCAGTAATTTCTTCCAGGTGCCTCCAAAACCGCCCCCCATCCCATTCCTGGCTGGGACCCCCGTCCCAAGCGCGGGTGCTGAGGAATCTCTCACCCTACTGTCCCCATCCCGCTGCCCCTCTTTTGGGACACCTCCCCCCGGAATGCCACCATACCTCAGGAAATACCCCGTAACCCCCCCAAACATGCAAGAGGGGGCACATTCCGCTTGATTTTGCCAGGATTCCCAGTAAGGGGAGTTTTCCCCTGCTCCGAGACCCCTCCGTTCCGTCACTGCTTCCCCAGTCGGACTGAGCGGAGCCCCGTGCCTATAAATCTCTACTCCCCATTCTGGAAAAAAAAATGAAAAATAATAAAAAGGGGGGGCTAGAAAGCACCGCCCGCTCGCGGGAGCGCCGGCGCTGACCTAAATCTGGTTTCTCCATCGTAACCTCAGCTTTACCGCAATTAATTTTTTTCTTCTGGTCACAAGATAATTCCTGACGCCAGAAAGTCTGGAGGTCATATGAGAAGCGAATTGAGGAACAGGGCGGCACTAATTTCCTACGAGATCTCCCTGGAAAAGCTTTTTTGTGGGGGGGAGGAAAGAGCATCGCCCTCCCCAAAATTCCRGGAAGGGACCGGGCTGGGGGGACCCCGGGCTGGGGGGAGGGGGGGGGCTGGACCCGCTCTCTTTTCCGGGGTGGATTTGGGGGTCCAGCCTTGGCCACGATGCTGCGGGGGGCGTTGGGAGGCTGAAGGCCGCCGCCCCCCCCCCCGCAGCTCCCCCATGGGGCCACCACGGCCACCAAGGGCCCCCCCCCCGCAGCTCCCCCATGGGGCCACCACGGCCACCAAGGGTCACCAGGGGGCGTGGCCTGAGCACTCATTTGCATGTGTAGGCGGGGTTTAGTGCCTCGTTTGCATACCGGGGGCGGGGTTTAGCGCTTCATTTGCATGCCGGGGGCGGGTCCTTGGCGGGTTCCTATATAGAGCGCGGCCCCCGCTTTAAGGCGCCAGTGACGTCCCCGTGGTTGGAACTGGGCGAGCTCGGCGGCCCCAGGACTCGGCTGCTCCAGGACTCGGCGGCTCCGGCGCTTGGTGGCCCCGAGGGTCCCGCCACACGAGGCCAGCAGAGCCGCGGTGGTCGCGGTCCCCCTGCCAGGACACATCGAGTCCGTTCTTGTCCCCCCCGGCCCCGGTCCCGCCATGAAGGCCATGAGCCCGGTGCGCTCCGTGCGGAGCTGCTACGAGGCCGTGTGCTGCCTCTCGGAGCAGAGCTTGGCCATCGCCCGCGGCAGCAGCAACAAGAGCCCCGCGCTCGAGGAGCCCATGAACCTGCTCTATGACATGAACGACTGCTACTCGAAGCTGCGGGAGCTGGTGCCGGGCATCCCGCAGGGCACCAAGGTGAGCCAGGTGGAGATCCTCCAGCACGTCATCGACTACATCTTCGACCTGCAGATCGTGCTGGAGGAAGAGGCCAAGGGCCGGGACTCTTCCTCCGAGGCTGCCCTGCTCTCCCTCAAGGTAAGGGCTGCTCTGGGGTTTGGGATGGGCTTTGTTGGGCTGGGTGCAAGTGGTTACGGGACGGTTTGATTTTGGGGAGGGGGGAAGGGTGTCTGGAAAATGGGGTGAATGAGAGGTCCCCCCTAGCCCTGTGCGCAGGCGGTGCTGACCCCGCTCCCCGCTCTCCGCAGGCRGCCGGGCTCGCCTCCGAACTCTGCGCCAAAGACGAGAGGAGTTTGTGTCACTAACGTCGTCCCTATCAGGTGAGTCACCCCCCCGGCCCCCGTGTCTTCCCTCGGGGCCGCCTCGGTGGGCGAGGGCGGCAGCGGTGGCGGCTCCCCCGACCTCCTATCCCGACCCCGGCAGGGGCGAAATCGCAGTCCCGTCCGTACGGAGCGAACCCACAGCCTCAGCTCACTGTTGGTTTTTTTTCTTTTTYYTTTTTTTTTTTTTTTTCTTCCTCTCCTCTCCCCTTTCTTTCCTTTCTCCCCTTGGTGCCAATTAGCAAACAGGCAGCGAGTGCCGGTCCCCGATTCGTTATCAGCCGGAGGTAAATAGCCGCTTCCTCCGCGGCGCCAGCCTGTCTGCGGAGCTGCCTCTGAAGTGCCGGCCCTGGGAGCGACAGAGCCCTTTCTGTGCCCGTGTCCCCCGCGGGGGGGCCCTGCCGCCCGCGCCCACCGCCCTGGCGCTCTTCAGCCTCCTCCTCCTCCTCGGCTCCGGTTTCGTCCTCCCAAGGAGCTGCCAGGGCTACCTGCCCGGCTCGGAGCCGCCGAGCCAACCGCATCCTCGTCCCAGCGCCGAGTTCTGAGCATCGCTAGTAAAATCCCGGCTTGTTTCTTAGGACTTAAAACCAGAACAAATATAAACAAGACACTTTTTAAAATCTTTTTTTTTTTTTAAATCCCGATAGACTGGTGAAGATGCAGTTGTCTGTATATTTTTGGATTATAGTGATCGAGTTCTTGCTAAAGGTGTGGGAGGGGAGCGGGGGGGCTGGGGGAAGGGGTTGGGGTGGGGGTACCCTTGCGAATCCAAACCAAACTGTGTGGGGCCGCGGCCTCGTGTATTGTGCAGCTCTATACTAGAGTATAACGTTTGTACCTTTTGCAGGAAGGTGAAGTTCTGCCGATGATGCCTTGTTACTTGCTTTATAAACTTTTTATAAAAGTTATAAAAAATTTTTACATAATAAAGAAAAAACAAAATGGTCATTTCAAAGTGCTTCGCCCTCCTTCTCTCCACGCGCCCTTGGGATCCGGCCCAGGGAAGCGGGACAGCGGGGCCGGGAATGGGATGGCGTCTGTGGGGAGCAGAGCAGCAGCCCCCCAGGCGGAAGCAGCCACGATGTGATCCCAGCTCCTAGGGTTACGTTAGGAATCTCATTAATTGTTTAATAGCTTTGAAACGTCAGCGCAGGTATGGCAGGAATTAACCCTAGGCGGCCGTCTCCGGCAGAGGCGGCTGCCAGCGCTTTTGGGCGCCGCTCACCTTATCTGATGGGGAAGGAGTGAAGCTGCTATCGCTTTTCCTCCCCTTGCCGGGGATGCTCCTTGCTGGGCTGAGCCCTGGGAGCAGCTCCCAGGCTGTTTTTCCTGGGAAGGGCAAGGAGCAGCCCAAGGGATGGGGCAGAGCTGGGTGCTGCCGGGCCTGGCCGGGGCTTTGCCTGTGCTGGAGGGGGCTCTGCTGCTGCAGCCCTGGCTCTGCGCGGCCCTGGGGACAGGAATCCCTCCCATTCCCCCCATCCCGCTTTGCCTCTGGCCTCCCAGCTGCTCCGGGCTCAGCTGCTGCCTCGGTGGCCCCGCACAGCTGGGCCGGCTCCGGCTCCCCAGGGAAGGCTCCCGCCTGGCCCCAGTTCAAGGCAGCTCCGGGGCCTCCGCCTGCCCCGGGCTGCTGGCCCCACCTGGAGTACTGGGTCCTGCTGGGCTCCACAGCAGCCGGCCCAAATCCTCCTCTCTGGAGCCCGGTGTGGAGCTGGTGGGTCCCTGTGGCTCTGCCAACCTGCGGGTGCGTGTCCTGTGCCTTGCTCCTGATGGAGCTGACAATCTGGGATGTGGCATCCCRGTGGCGCCGGGACAGAGCCTGGCCAGGATCGGTCCCGAATCCCGGCTCTGCGGGCAGCGATAGCGGCCTGGGCTCCTCCTGCCCCCACGGCCTCGAGGAGAGCCCTTGGAGCTGCCCCCGCCGCCGGGACGGCACCTCCCCACACCGCTAATAAGCAGTGAGAGTTGCTAAAAGTTAATAATAGCAATTACCGTTGCTCCCCYGCTGCTCGGGCTGGCTGTGTGTGCAGGGGGACGGCAAAGCAAATCCCTGCTCCCCTGTGGCCGCAGGGACGGCAGCGGGACGGGGCGGCCCCGCGGGCAGCGGCCCCCGGGGGTGGCCGGTTTGGCAGCGGGAAGCCTTGGCAGCGGCTCCCGGGCAGCCCCGGCGGATCCCAGCGCCGTTCCTGGAAGTGCCGTGGCTGTTCCCAGGCCTCGCTCCCAGCAATGGGAACGGCGGAGCGGGGGGAGGAACCCAGCRCAGGCCCCCCGCCCCGGCTCGCCTTCCTGCCTGCTCTGCTGGAGCCCAGGACTTCTTTGGAAACCCTGATAAAAGGGGAAAAATATGTTGCTAAAAATAACGCCCTTTGCCTTGGTAGCCCTGGGATTTCCCTCGCAGGGCGGATTTATTGCACTGGACCCCCCACTCCCCCCCGCCCCGCTAGCTGCTGCCACCAGCATTTGCTCCTAACCCTCTTCCCAAGGCGGTTTCTTTTGTCTTCCAAGGGCGTCATGCTGGAAAGGGGGAAGAAAGACTAAGAATAGTGAAAAAAAAAATTAAAAAAAAATGGCCCTGCAAAGAATAGCTTATTTTATTTTTCA